TGATCTTGTCCAGAAAGGATGCTTAGGAACTAAAGCTCTAGGTGATGGTGAATGCAAATGAGCAGTTTTTACTGTGTAGTCAGGAATTCACATCAGCAGACCATAGGCCTTAGGTTTGTGAATATTATTCCAGAACCGGGGTTCCTGGGTTTCATCCTCAAACGTCTGCAGCCGTCCTTGCTGTTCTAAGAAAGCATTGCCTTTTATGTTAGCGTCGGGTCATGTGTCCGTTGCTGGTGAGCACAGTTGGAACTGAGAAGTGGTTGCATAAATCCTGCTGGTTGTAAGTGGTGAAAGGTGCCGGTCCCTGCTTCCCTGTCGTGGTTTGAGAACATTCTATTCCCACTGCTTCTGCCATGACTCATGGCTACACTGATAAAAGAGACAGAAATAGAGGTTTCCACCTAGAACTTACTTCTGGCCTTCCGTTTTTATTACTCTCTAATCCCCATTTTTTATTTTTGCTGTCTAGAAAATTCACCTCAGAAATGATGTTTAGAAAATCTCCGTAGTCATGACATTCCCCCCACCCAATCCCCCGTGGCAATTGCCTGTCCTCAAATTAATCATTAGCTTGTTCTTTTATTTTGTTTTCATTTTGATCTTCTCAGCCTGCTTGCAGCAAGCCTTGTGATAGAAACTCCATCTCTAACGCTAGAAACGGCATAATTCAGATGTAACTGGACCTGCTGAGATTTGGCAGAGGCGACCTCAGTGCTCATGGTTGTGCTCTGAGTTCCAGCTTGAGAGCCAGTTGGGGGACCAGCAACTCCACCCTTTATACTAACACAGACTTTGCTATCTTGCACCCCTTTCTACAGTTCCATGAGTTGGAAGATGTTTTATTTTTGGAAGATTTAAAAAAAACACAACATCAAAGGGCCTGATCAGTGTGGCTCAGTAGTTGAGTGTCGACCTGTGAACCAGGAGGTCACGGTTTGATTCCGTCGGGGCACATGACCAGGTTGTAGGCTCGATCCCCAGTGGGGAATGTGCAAGAGGCAGCCAATCAGTGATTCTCACCATTGATGTTTCTATCTCTCGTTCCCTCTCCCTTCCCCTCTGAAATAAAAAATATTTATATATATACACCAAAGAAACTGTATTTATTGATATTTTCTTTTTTCCATTTTTATTAACCAAGAGTCTATAGCTAGGTATGAAATCAAAACATGTGCTTCAAATAGTATCAACATTAAGTTTGATTTTTCAGGTGGTTGATTGGTGTTAGTTAACCTGTGCACCTTTACTCTGAGTAGAGAATTCTTTGAACGTTTTTAAAAATGAAAATAATGTGAAGTCCCTGTTCCATGCTCTTTCTCTCCCCTCCCCACCCCAGCCCCTCAATGACAGACTCCATGGATCCCTGTGCTCCTAGGATCTCAGGCCGAGGCTATGATCTGTACCTAGGGAGTTTGTAGTTTCATTAGCAAACTTTTTTAAATGAAAAAAGATCATTTAAAATACCCACTAAAATGAATTTTTATTAAGAAAAGTAATGCCTCCCTCCCCATTTGTGGGGGAATGTACTAGAGAATCTGTCCCGATGTCCTTCTTGAGGTCTGGTCCTGGGGACCCAAGCTCCTGACCATCCCTTTTTTCTAACCTGTGTTACTAGGCCTCCCCTGTTCCCCTCGCCTATCTCCAGGAGTTTTTCTTCTCTCTGTGGCTTTGTGCCTTCTTGAGCTTACCTACCTTCTGTTTCTGTTCGCTGCTGTCTGTTTCTCACAGTGAATTGGAGGCCTGTCAGGGCAAGGGTACCTCCATGTCCGCTGTGCTGGACCAGGGCCTGCCCCGTTCGAATGGGAGCGGGGCAGCAGCAACCCCTCTGCCTCCGGGCCCTCCCTACACCTGTGCACTGGGCTCTGCCCTGAGGACTTAGCATGGAGTCCATTTCAGTCCTTTTCAGGCCCACAGCAGCTCTAAGAGAAAGTAGATCACTGTTGCTGTTCCCATGTTAAAGACCGGGACTTGGTTAAAGTCATAGCACTTTGCATTTGTTTAGTGACACTTTATCTCGTACCTTGGCCCTTAGGATGAAAAAATAAAATGATTCAAAGACAAAACAGAGTACAAAGAGAAATAAAAAGTCTGGAATATAAGTACATGGAATAAATGGCCCCTGAATACTCGTGTTGTCAGTGAGAGGGTCGTTTGCCTTCTTTTATTTTTAAAAAAATATTTTTTTATTGATTTCAGAGGGGAAGAGAGAGGGGGAGAGAGAGAGAGACATCAGTGATGAGAGATCCCCTACTTGGGATCGGGCCCGAAACCCGGGCATGTGCCCTTGACCAGAATGGAACCCGGGACCCTTCAGTCCGCAGGCCGACGCTCTGTCCACTGAGCCAACCAGCTAGGGCTGGGTTGTTTGCCTTCCAAAACTGCCCTCTTGGTAACGCCGTGTTCCCCAGAGGCGCTGCCCCGGACCATGGCGCTGCACTGTGCATGCACTGTATTCCTAAGTTTCCCAAACGTAAGCATTTCCATGTTCAGAAATTGTTTGAGCTCTCACTGGAGACAGTGTGTATATTTATGTTGGTTTTATTTTGTGACTCCTGGTCATGCGTCACTTCCTAATCAGCAGTGCTCGTTTGCTTGGGCAGATGGTCTTGAAGAGAACATTGCCAAACAATTGGACGTGCTTGTTGCTGCTGAGGTTAATATTTAGCAGAAAAGAAAGTTGTGTTTAACCAAATAAGGCTTTGGGCATCATTAATCGATATTTATATTACTCATTATGGTTTGGAAACATCGGTTTTGTGTAATTGCACTGTCAGATAGCATCTCCAGTTTAGCACAGAGACAAAGTAAAACCAAACCACTTGATCCACAGTGAAAGTAGGAGATGGTAGAAGAAACAATGAACCAAATTCATTTTATAGAAATTGTGTTTGTAGGATGTCTTTGGAACGATACGGATTTATCGTAACTCAGATACAACACATATTCATGGCTAGGTTTGGGTATAGTAGTAAGTAGCATTAGACATTATCAGTATTAACAACAGAAGAAAATTTTTGTTTTAATCCTAATTTTTATGTTTGTGCACATTTCTTTGTAAGCCATTTAAAAGCCTCCTTTTCTGGGGAGGAGATAGCCAAGTGTATATTATGAACAAAAACTTGCTGAAAAATCCCCCCATGCAATGAGCATTGGGGAAAAGGTGGGTTTAGGTGATAGTTGATATCTTGTAAAATGAAAGGCATATGCATTAAAGGGAGAATAATTGTAATTGTCACTTGCTCACAGTGGTGGCTTGAGAGTTGGGGCAAGGTGACCAAAAACAGCAGGTTCAATTCTACAAAGAAGATTAAGTTAAACATCAACCTATATAAATTTCCATTAAAAATCTTCATAAGATACTAATGGGGTAATCAGTTCTTCTCACTGGATGGTTAAAGAGCAGGTGCCACTAGCCACATTACTCGGGATGTTTACTTTGAAGGGGGATGGCCCTCTGGAGTCCAAAGTCAAGGTAAAGAAATGCGGGTTAGTGAGTAGAATGGTTGCTGAGCCAGTGAACTGTCCTGGGGCAGGGGGCCCATAACTCATGGATCCAACAAGCAGTGCCAGGTGGGCCGCTCAGGGACACTGCAGAGCCATGGGTTTGGACTGAAAGATCCTTAGGTCCCTTTCATTTTTATTTGCATAAATGTTTTCATTTTAGTGGAGTTTTCTACCTGCTTCGCTAATTTTCATTGGAGCATCCTTAGGAAATTTTAATGTACATATTAAAAACCACAGTGTGTGTGTGACTTTTGTGTTTGTGCCTTTATTACCCTCTTTGTTTAGTTTGGACCAAGGAAAATATATTTTATTAACAAGGTTTAATTCTCTTGGAAAATAACGTGGAACCTACATTATCTGGGGCATTTAAGCTGTAATGAGAGCAGTCGAGTGTTAACAGATGTGGTCACAAAGGCCCGGTGGCCTGCTCCTCCGTTCTCCTCCAAGCCTTTGTGGTCCGGAAAGCTTCTTGAATTTCTCTCTTATGTGAATGTTGATATAATCTGTCTATACTTTAGTTTTTGGAATGAATTAATTTATATGATACCCTTCCTAAATGGATTTTTTTTTCATCTGAAGAAGACATTTTTCCATCTGATTGACAGCTTTGTTTTTTATTTCATACAAGAAGGGATTATTTTTGATTATAGGCGTTAGTCTATTGCTAGAGTGAGAGGGCCCTCAGATGTGACTATCCAGCCTTGCATCTGCAGGGTGCGTATGCAGATATGGGACAGGTGGTTGCCCAGCCTCTGTGGGAACATTTGCAGTGACAGGAAGCTGCTACGTTTCCCAGTGCTTTAACGCCTGTATTAAGTAGGTCCTTCCTGCCGTTTTTAAGCCAAAAAGTGTGCTTCTGGTGACTTACACCTTCCGTCCTAGCTTCGTCCTCTCATTGACAGCCAGGAATATTTCCTCATTGACAGCCAGGAACATTTCTGTCCTCTCCAAGCTGTAATTTTCTCATCTTTAAAATGATCTCTCCAAGCTGTAATTTTCTCATCTATAAAATGATCATGAGTTGCAAGATCTGGTTATCTCACCAGGATCGAGGTGAAGAACAACTGAGATAATTGTGACCTTAGGCAAAATCCTGTCCATGTCTCAGAGTATTACCCTCTTAGCTTTACCTCTGGTGTGTAATGTGATGGGGAAACAGCCGTGCCTGTCCATCAGTTGGTGGACCTTGATAGACACTTTCCAGTTGATGTTCTTGTCATTAACAAATGAATGAATTCATCTCTTCAGTCAACATTTATTGACCATTCACCGTGTGCCTGGCACTTGCTTGGGCCTTAAGTGAATTAAACAGTGAACAAAACAGATACCATCTCTATCTTACTGGGGCTTAACCTTTCTTCCCTAGACTTTTTACTTTGAGATATAAGTGCTTTTGACTGTTCAAAATAAAATAATATTGTTAGTCTCCTTTAACGAAGTGTTTTTAGTTTTCTGACTAGTACAATATTTAGCAGTATGTCTTTGATTCGTAGATATATGGAGTCTGGGAGTGATCCTTTTCATGTTGGTATGCGGGCAGCCACCCTTTCAAGAGGCCAATGACAGTGAAACATTGACAATGATCATGGATTGTAAATACACGGTCCCATCCCATGTGTCTAAAGAATGTAAAGAGTAAGTAAAAAAAGTGTGTGCTTATTTTATTTTTTTGAACTTAATATTTCTGCTCTTGATAAGTGTGTTTTGGAGAGTTAACCCCAGAATATGATTTGAAATGTAATATTAGATACAGAGTGTATTACTGTATTGCTTAAATATGCCAGTTTTCAAGAAGCTCATTACGTGCTGTTTCAGTCTCCAGGAGAGGGGGTTACTTTACTTGAAATGAGACATTACCACGAGAATTACTCTTCTCTGTTTGCATCAGCAACGAGGACAACCACCTGGAATTATTTTAAGTTCCAGAGAAGAGTTAGGGCATTTCTGAAATAGACAATCAACACACCATTTTAGGATTTATATAGTGTGTCTCATAATTTTATTCCCACACCCCTCCCCCCAGTTAACTAAAGAGCTCTGTTTTGGTTCATGTGACTATGGGAAGCCAACCAAAAATACACTCAAGTTGATTGTTTTGGATTTAAAGTACCACACAGCACTCTGATATGTGTAGTAAGAAATATAGTGGAATAAAGGAACGTTGGAAGTTCAGGATTTCATTGATGTTGTGGGTGATTCTTTGAAATGAGCTTGGCTGAGAGTATAGCTACCACTTACAGGATTTTGCTGTAGTAACATAGATTCAGCTGGTAACTATGTATGTTGCCAGATGGGAAGTAGACTTCTGGGGGGATCACTTTGTGATATAGAAATGTCTAATCACTATGCTGTACCCCTGAAAATAATATGGTATTGAATGTCAACTGTAACTGGGGGCGGGGGCGGGGAATAGAAGGAAATCTGAGTTTGAAGAATCCTTTCTCCAGGCAGAGCCCCATCTTAGGCCATGTAGTGGATCGTTATGAACTTAGGTGTTCAAACTCTCTGGATTCAAATACTAACTTCTCCCTTTACTAATGATGTGAGAATAATAGAACCCACCTTTTGGGTTATTGTGAAATGAAATGAATTAATGTCTATAAAAGTTCTTAGCTCAGCCCTCAGCACATAGGAAGCACCTGATATGAATGTTGATGATGGCGATGTTTATGCCCTTACTATGATTCTTCTCTGCCCCAGGAAGCAGAATATATGTTGTGTGCATGTTAAATGTTTGTCATTCAAGAAGTATCTCCACAGCCTCTACTCAAAAACTTATTTATATTGAAATATGTTATTCACAAGAATGTTTAAAATGTGTCTGTAATAAAATGAACACCTCTGTACCTGTTATCCAGCTTAAGAAATGGAAAGGTTCTAATAACTTAGAAGCCTCTGTGTCTCCCTCCAAGAGGAATTATCTTTAATAATCATAGGACCACTCAGTTTTCTACTTTCTCCTGTGTCAGTTTTGCTAAGTTGTGTTTTTCAGGGAACTCATTCATTTTTTTTTAATGGAAAAGCAAGCAAGAATTTATTGACCATAGCAAAAATATTATGGGGCCCTTAGAGGTTAGGGAATACGAGCCTTGGGGGAAGGAGAGAGAGAAGGGAATGGCAAGGGTGTGCTCCCTGGAGGGATAGTGCCAGGAACTTGTTCATTTTATCTACATTTTCAGATTTATTGGTCTCAAGTATTCATAATATCCTCTAATTACATTTTTAAAGTCTATAGATTAGTGGGGGTGTTGCCCTTTTTCATTCTAATATTGACACCTGTTGCCTTCTCTTATTTTTTGTCTTATGCGATCTTGCCTGCGGTTTATTATCTTATTAGTCTTTTTCAAAGAACTACCTTTGTTTGAACAATGGACTTACTTCCCTTTCCAGCCTGATCACCCGGATGCTACAGAGAGATCCCAAGAGAAGGGCCTCTTTAGAAGAGATTGAAAACCATCCTTGGCTTCAGGGGTGGACCCTTCGCCAGCCACCAGGTATAACATCCCCCTGGTGTCCTACAAGAACCTCTCAGAGGAGGAGCACAACAGCATCATTCAGCCCATGGTGCTCGGGGACATAGCGGATCGAGATGCCATTGTCGAGTATGTTACCACTCACCTGTCGGGGCCATGGGTTCAGATGCTTGGAACGGGCTCTCTCTGTATTGCCAGGGCCTATGGCACTGTGTGATGGCTAGAGACCCAGGTGACAGGGTCATGCCATTTATCTCTACAGTTCCCTGCCCTGATCCTGGCTCTTAGGTTTTGTTGTATTTTGTTTATTTTTGTACTAGTGACCAAAGGGCGTGTCATTGAGCGCTGTGGCCTTTCTCCCGTCCTCCTAGGGTACAGCCTGCTTTGTATCCCAGTATATGCCTTGCCCATAGCAGTATTCTCTTCATTCCCAAGTCCCTCACTGGTTCCCACAGTGAGCAGGGAGAATGGGGCAGCATCTCAAGTCCCCTAAGTCAGGGGTTGGCATGTGGGCACCAGTCATGCATTTATGTAAGTAGAGTGTTAGTGAACCACAGCTGTGCCCATTCATTTATGTTTTGTCCACGGTGCATGTGCTACAGCAGCGTATCTGAGAGACTACATGACCCTCAACATCTGAAATACTTGCTCTCTGGTCCTGAAGAGCCCCTGCTGCCACCACCTGGAACCCACAAGACCCACAAGTTATTAACTAAGTCCTTGAACAGCACAGAAGGACTTCAGAACCTCAGGGGCTTAGAAATCACCTAACTTTTTAAAATAACCTGAGCAGTTTAGAATCAAGGATAATATAAAGATGTGCTTTGCTTTAGCATTGATTCATTTCTATAGGAGGTCCTAGCTTTAGAATATGAAACCCTTCCACAAAGGAAAAGTCAAACGTTATTTAACCCATTGGAACAGCTGGTACGATGGAAAGAGTTGGCTTGCCAAGGACACGCACTTTAGTAGTGCATAGAAAATGATTGTTCGTTTTTGAGTAGATAGAAGGCTATTTTTGTCTCCTGAATTGTCTTAATGTTCTTAGCTTAAATAAATAAATAGCTGCCGTGGTGTCACAGAGCTATTTAACTCACGTAAATTCAGTTATAAACCCAGAAGGAGCGCTCATCAAATGGTTCGGGAGGTTCCATGTGCCCGTCCACCAGTGAGCATGCGCCGGAGAGAAGCGGGGATCTGGACGCCTGAGCCGCCCTTCCAGGTGGTCTCGGTCTTCCTGCGCCCACAGCGTGAGCAGCGTGAGCCCTCCTCTGTGGGTGACCCTGCATCAGAGACTCAAATGTGTTGGCTCTTGTGAGCTCTTACTTTGGAGTCTGTCCTAGGCCTGCCTGCCCGCCCCTGTTAAGCTGTGGCCCAGGTACACGTGGTGAAAAGTGATCCCCATGTTGCTTCTTTCCTAGTGTTCATTGTGTATTTTCACTAACGACAGAAAGTTCCCGAAAAGCCTGGCTGCATAGTTCTGGGCCTGGTGGGCCCCTGTCACCTGCTCCTGCTATTGCCTGGAAGGCCAGCTGCAGGGGAGCAGGCAGGGCCGCCTCGGAGGGCCAAACACCCCCGGCAGCTCCCCAGCCCCGGTGGCTGCACTCGGTTCTCAGAGCATCAGTTTTGAAATGGATGAGTGAAAACATTGACAAAGAAGATGCTAATGACAGGCTCTCGGTTACATTAATGATAATGCATAAATATGTAAAATGCCAATAAATGCCAGGAGAGTGTAAGAGTAAAAACTCCCTGATTTTTGTGATGGTAGTAGTGTTTCAGTACACATTCATAGAACCCACTTCACACTTCTGATGGCAGCAAGTAAGCCAGCTCAACGAAAACAAACACTTCGACACAGAGTAAAGTTTGGATAATGTGTACATTCTCGAAGCCTCATTTCCTTTTATGCACCTAAACCTGACATCTAGCCCACATGCCATCAGCATTTTGGATTTTTCTTACTAACTGAATATTTTTATGCAGTTTTTTTTAGAGTTTCAAGAGTAATCTAAATACTAGTGTTTTTTTTTTTCTTATTTGTGATCTTTCTTAATTTTAAAGACTCTGAGCATTGGATCCATTTGCTTGGACTGTACTTTAAAAGCATCAGTTCTGCTTGTAAAAATCTGCTACTGAGATCTCTGCACTCTCCCTGTTTCTCCAGAGCCCTGGAGACCAACAGGTACAACCACATCACGGCCACGTACTTCCTGCTTGCCGAACGGATCCTGAGGGAGAAGCAAGAGAAAGAAATCCAAACCAGGTCTGCCAGCCCCAGCAACATCAAGGCCCAGTTTAGGTGAGAAAAAATCTTCACTGATTTTAGTAAGTTAACGTTTTGAAATAGTGAACGTTGTTTGTTTGCTTGCTTAATGCTTCCTAACTCCGGGGCAAGATTGTGAACAGCGATGGGGGCTCTCCACACGCGTGGGGGCTGGGACCTTGCGTCACCAAGGATGCCGTGGGCTCCTGGGCTCGGGGCTGCGGCTGCTGGCCTGGCCGGGAACATGTTTGGAGACGGTCTCAAGCCAGCGTGTCTGTAGTTTATTTTCATTAAACTCTTCTAGGTCTGACATGTATTAATAAGTTATTTTCTTTATTCTTTTATTCCAGGAACAAGGCCAGTTTTCCCTCAGTTATTTGAAATAACTTTTAAAAATAACAGGGCATTTCTGGGCCCGTGATGTTGTCTCAGGATTTCAGGGATTTGACAGTCAGATTAACCAGTTGATTTATTGGCTGATGACCTGGGGAGGTCACTTAACCTATGACTCAGCTGCTGAGTCGGCCTGTGAAGTGGGAGGAAGCACACTGCCTGCCTCCTGGGGTGCGGTGAGGGCCAGATGAGTTAGGGCCTGTGGGGTGCATCCGGCCCGGCTCCCTGTTGCTGCCTCTGGTAGGACTATCACCACCCTGTCTCTCCTTTCCTCCCTCCTTCCTGAACTCTCCATCCTCCTCCCCAGTTTCCTGTTCTCCTGCCATGCTAGCTTTCCGCTTAAAATCAGAGCGTAGGAAGGGTTACCTTTTACACCATCATTAGGAAATTTATTAGAATTCATATCCAGATAAAGTAACCCCTGGATCTGTAGTGATTCAAAAACCAAAGGACGCTCCCAATTCTGAATAATTCTCTACTGGTACATCCAACAATGAATGATTATATGTGTGTGAATATTTCATATTATTTAAAAAGAGGAGGAAAACCGTTGGGGTTCAATTCCCTGCAGTCACTTGCCGTGCTAGGTTGTTGCTTGGGCTGGAGCGACAGAGGAGAGAGAAGAAAGCAGTCCTGGTGGCTGAAGAAGAAAGAGTGAGAAGTCTGAGCTGGAAGCCGAGTGTAGGAACTCCGTGTCCTGCACACATTCTTCTGTAATGGAAACTAGGCACGCTGTCAGGTGTCGGCTTGGAAGAGGCCTGGGCCCAGGGAGCCAGGGGACTCCGGGCATGAGACAGAGCAGGAGAGTGACACGGAGAGGGTGGGCCAGCCTCGTCCTGCTGAGCCCTCTGGTGGGAAAGCACAGCCTCCGAGTAGCTGGGCCACCAGGTCGGGAGCCACCCAGTCCTTTAGGAGAAGGGGTATTTGGATTTGAGCTGTTGTCTGTTCAGTGAGACAGAACAGAGCTCAATCTAAAAGTGATCAAACAGTAACTGAGTTAAATTGGTTTTACTTCTGGAAATGGCAAAGCCAATAGCAGCGATGAAGAAGTATCAGAGCCTCCCACAGTTTTCCTTTACCCTCCTGGGGATTCTGGAGTGGAGACGCCCTGCAGGCCTGTCTTCCTCCTGTGTCTGCTTCCTCGCCTTCTCTTTACGTCACTGTGACTTCAGTGTCCAAACCCTGGGCCTGACTTGGCTCTGTTGCTGAGGATGCCTTATGGTCAGCCTGACCGCTACAGCTGTAGCCTTCACCCATCCTGTTTCCGGGGGTGGGGAGGGGAGGAGAGAAGAGCCTTTATCAGGCTGTGCCCCTCCCCATCCTTCTCGAATGGACTGGCTGCTGCTCTGGCGAGTCAGTACCCCGCCATGGGCTCCCCCGTGGTCGTGGGGTGATGTTGTGGTGGCTGCTCAGCCTGAAAGCACAGTGTGTGCGGCTCTGCTCTGTGGGACCTCGAGGCTCACCGGGAGGGGGCGCAGTGGGGTTGGTGGAGGACAGACGACTTGTCCAGAGACACTGCTTGACCTCAAAAACATCGAACACTCAGCTTCTATAAACTACCACGCAGTGACGATAGCAAATGGCCCTCCACCCTCGAGGGAAGGTGATACGGCTCTGAGTTGGGGGAAGGATGTCTGTTGTAAATGCCTAGGAGTTTTACCAGGCTATAGATTTAATTAGGTGTTATTTCTAGGATAACATAACTGGTGTGAAATGAAGATGTCATCGTGTGGAAGTGGCTGTTGTAAACGTGTCTGGCATCTGCTGGTCCCTGGGCAGGGAGGACAGCTGAGAATTCCAAGATGTTTATTCAAAACAAGCCAGAGACCTCATTTCCCAAAGTCTTTCTCTTTAGCTACCAAGCAGGGTTCTCGTTACTTGAGTGACTCCAGATGGGGGATAAAATCAGAGTTTACGTCATAGTGGACTTTGCTATCCAGTTCTCTCCCTGAGCATTTAAAATAGAAATATTTCTATTTTGCTGGTTGCATTTTTTTAATTGGTGAGGAGATGATATATGCCAGCATTCACTGACTCTCCTCTCCAACAATCTCATGTTAAATCCATTCAACTATTTCCATTTATTTTTGTAAATACCAGACTTTTACAAAAAGGAGGACTGGAAATTTCAGGTGAATCTTCTTAGCAACACACCATCACAGGCTGTGATCTAAGACCCAGAGGGACAGAGTGTGTGGTGTTCAGGTTTTGCTTTGGTGATGACTCCCGTGTGCTTTTAAAAAATGCTTTTCTTGGGGCATAAACTGTTGTAGAGGAGAGGCGCCCCGGCAAACCCTTTTCTGACAGCTGGGACAGCGTTTTTTGGCCACGAGCACAGACTGAGCTGCATTCAGAACCACGTGCCCTTCAGGTGTCCTTGCTGACCGTCACAGGGGGTGGAATGAGCTTGCATGGCTGCCGTTTCTTTTCTTCTAAGTGTGCAGGTTTTGTCCCAGTAAGTTGTGTCTCATGTCCTTCAGCAGAGTCTGCATGTGATTACATGGTGTGTCCTTTCCCATCTGTTCCACAGGCAGTCGTGGCCCACCAAAATCGACGTGCCCCAGGACCTGGAGGATGACCTCACCGCCACTCCCCTGTCCCACGCGACCGTCCCTCCGGCTCCTGCTCGGGCTGCCGACAATGTCCTCAATGGCCACCGGAGCAAAGGCCTGTGTGACACGGCCAAGAAAGACGACCTCCCCGAGTTGGCTGGGCCGGCATTGTCCACGGTGCCGCCGGCAAGCTTGAAGCCCGCGGCCAGTGGGCGGAAGTGTCTGTTCCGGGTGGAGGAAGACGAAGAGGAGGATGAGGAGGATAAGAAACCCATGTCCCTCTCCACGCAAGTGGTCCTGCGCCGGAAGCCCTCGGTGACCAACCGGCTGACCTCGAGGAAGAGCGCCCCGGTGCTGAACCAGATCTTCGAGGAAGGGGAGTCCGACGACGAGTTCGACATGGATGAGAACCTGCCTCCCAAGCTGAGCAGGTTAAAGATGAACATCGCCTCCCCAGGGACGGTTCACAAACGCTACCACCGGAGGAAAAGCCAGGGCCGCGGCTCCAGCTGCAGCAGCTCGGAGACCAGCGACGACGACTCGGAGAGCCGCCGGCGGCTCGATAAAGACAGCGGCTTCACCTACTCCTGGAACCGCGGGACAAGCAGCGAGGGGCCGCCGGGCAGCGAGGGC